CATGTGAATGAGTTAATTGTATGACTCTAACGTGCTTAAATTGCGCAAGGTGAAATCTGAGTGACCTAGATTTAATTGAAGGACTGTTTGTTAAGATCTTAAATTAGGGCCGTTACAAACCACATGTTGAGCTAATGAGAAGGATCACAAAGAATGATCAGGGAGTTTTCTTACCACCCTTCTGGATTTTAATTGATTTTATATGCACTAAGGGCATTGCATACTTCAAGTGTAGGGTGGGAATTTATCTGTTGGTTGTACATTAGTATATTAGTATCTTTTAGCTTCTTATTTATATTTAGTTTTTTTTGTTTTCTATTTGGCATTCATTAATTAGAAGAAGCAAAATAGAAAAATCGATAAAAAATTTATAAAAATTTGGATTTTTCCCGACGATGGATCTCGTAGACAGTTTTCTTGAGGGTTTAAAGTCTAGCCAAAAATATATAAAAAAAATTGTAAATCAAAAATACAAAAACATGTCTTTTAGTTTTCCTTAGGTAGTAATAATTCCCCGTGATTTTTCTTTGTGCCTCGGTTCTTTTCCATGGGATGTAGCTTGAATTGGGTAGTAGTTTCTTTAGTTTTAGAGTAGATTAGGACTTGGAAAATAAAAGGAGGAAGAATGATGTAATTCCTAGGCGCCCGGACTTGTTTGATAGTAGCATATTTAGGCTTTGGCATGTGTAGTATCTTCCCTCTGTGTGAATTGCTTATGATGCCTTTTTGAATTGGATTGCATGTCTTGTGACGCCTACGTCTTATTTACTTGACTATTGTTCACTTTATGCTTAATACTTAATATTTCATTGCTCTATGAATACTTGCATTATTTGAGACTCGGAATGGGACCATGCTTAATGAGTCATGTGTCATATGTGAAATGAGCTTTTTGTGTAGTCTATGTATTATACTTGTGTCTAAAACTTGCCCGTTATGTGAGTCGAAGCGAAATTTTAGGTGATGCTCGGTTTGAAAAATGATTGTGGGCTTTCTTGGATCTTTTTGAGCTTAATGCTTATTACAAATAAAATTATCCCTAGTTAAACCTTTTGAGCCTATAGACTTTTATTTGGCACCCACATTACAATCCTATACCCCTTTTCGTTCTTGATTGACATTATTTTTTATCCTTTTTGCGGCTTAAAGAACTTTAAGTGTAAAATGAGCGCTAAAAGAAGTAAGGAGGGAATTTGGGTGGCTTTCGAATGGAACCAATGAAAGAAATAAAGGTGCACTGGTTTTGTAAAAGACTACACCACTAGCGAAAATTGTAAAGAAAAAATTACTGGAAAAAAAAGGAAAAAATATGCAGATAAATAAATTGATATCTTGGTCTTGCTAGTGGGTATGAATTAAGGTAGTTCCTAAAGAAAGAGAAAACATTGTTGAGTGTGATTTTGTTTGTGAAATTGAAGTGGAGTGAAAAATTTGCGCATAAAGTTTAGTATGTGATGTGTTAAAGTGCTTAGGAGGGTGAACCACTATTGCTAAATATATTCTACTCGTCTCATAGCCCAAATTACAACAATGAAAAAATCTTTGATTTTAGATCGAGTAAGCCTATATTAGTAGAGATTTATATTATGGGCAAGCATATGGTACCAATTGCATGCATGTGATTTCTTTTGGGAGAGTGAGCGATTTTGATATATGTGAGTCTTTAAAATATATTTGAGCCTTTGATTTGAAAGCGTGGATTCAACTTACTCTCTTGTTATTGTTGTGAGGGCACATGATTTTACGAGGGATAGGTGACGTTATTAGACTTCTCTGTGATGTTGGGTGTTCAATCCATGAGTGCATTGTGATATTGAGTCGGTCTTAGAGGCTAGGATTGTTATGAGCATGTTGTTTTCATTGTGAATATTTCTTTTGAAGAATGGTATAAGTAAAAGAGAAGTGTGTTCTTAATGCAAATGCTCTAGCTTAACTATTGCTATCAACTGTGGTCATTGGTGTAGTGTGCAAATTGTGTAAATGTAGAGTGCTCAAGAATAGTGTAATATGTTGGTTGACTCGAGGACGAGCAATGTTTAGGTGTGGGGTAGGTGATTTTTGGCTATAAATGTATATTTTTAATGTATTGTTTACCTTACATTTTAGTGTTCTAATGATTAATTATGCAACATTTGAGCTTAATTGTGTCGTTTTTTTGTGTAGGATAGTTGAATGATGAAAACACGTGAAGGTTGAACACATGGATGTTAAAGATACAGAAAAAAGAGCATGAAAAGACAAAAAAAATTGGACCAGGTGACGCCTAGTCCCAGGCGCGATCCATCAGGCGACAGAGTGGTTGACGCCAGCTCCCAAACGCGCTCCACACCAGGCCTCGCGAGCTCTAAGGCCTGGTCCCTTCCCAGTCCATGCATTAAACGTTTATTACTTGGATTTGGGCTTGGGGACTTCGACCCTAACCTATAAATATCCCCCCCCCC